CACGACCAAATAGCAGCGATTGGTTAAATGATAAAAAGTACCCGCCTACTGTTGGGCGAACGAAATCTAACACTGCGACGTCAGACGGTTTGTACAAAGTGAAACGAAGTAAAACCGGCTGATGAATCAGGCTACCAAAAGTGTAGCCAGATATTTAGGCAGTTGCTTTTGTTCAGCGTCCGAAATGAGGACAAAATGAGGACAAAATGAGGACAAAATGAGGACAAAATGAGGACGCATAACACAGGTCCGGACAGAAGGCTTTGTTGTCATGACGTTTAAGTAAAGAAGTATGTTTTTTATTTATATAGCACTTTTCACAGACAAATTTCACAAAGACACTTTACAGAGCATTATTCTGTCACTCCACACCCGGTGGTGGTAAACTACTGTTGCAGCCACAGCTGCCCTGGGGCAGACTGACTGAAGCAAGGCTGCCAATCTGCCACTCTGACCAACACCATCACTCACACACACACCACTTTCATACTAGGCAATGTGGGTGAAGTGTCTTGCCTAAGGACACAACAACAGTTTTTGTGACTGGCGCCACACTGTGGCTCCTGATTTTCCCAGACGTCTCCCTCCAAGTCCCACCCAGACCCACAGACCCACAAACCCACAGACCCACAGACCCACAGACCCACAGACCCACAGACCCACAGACCCACAGACCCACAGACCCACAGACCCACAGACCTACAGACCCACAGACCCACAGACCCACAGACCCACAGACCCACAGACCCACAGACCCACAGACCTACAGACCCACAGACCCACAGACCCACAGACCCACAGACCCACAGACCCACAGACCCACAGACCCACAGACCCACAGACCCACAGACCCACAGACCCACAGACCCACAGACCCACAGACCGAGCTGAGCTTCTGAGATCTGACAGGATCAGGCTTTCACAGGTATGGACACTTTTACAGACACGTCTGCTGCAGTTTTCTAACACAGAAGTCAGTGCACTTGTTCTTTTATTAAGTTGTTTTAGATCAATTTTGTGATTTAAAATAATAAATCTATAGATTATAAAAATGTGTAAGTGTCTAATTAGGGCTGGGAATCATTACGAAGTTACTGATATGATACAAACATCGACACACAAGTCACAATACTTATCTTGACACAGTGAACTTTTGGTTCAATATGATTATATTTCAAATTGGTTCGATACGGTTCAATAAAAATAATGTTTAAATCACGGCTGTGATACTAAAAGTCTTTGTTAAATCACTTCTTGTGCAAAGTTCATATGAAACAAACATTTTAATCATCAAAACAGTGAAAATGTCAAATGTGTCGCACAAACGAGTTTCCTTCCTCTAAACAAACTGCAAAAATGTAGTGCTGAAACAAAATGATTTTGTAAAATATATTAAAAAAATACTCTTGGCGATATATCGATACAGCAGCTCATGATATCGATACTGTATCATCACATTAAAAGAGACATGTCAAACTCAGGCCTGGGGGCCAAATTTGACCTGTGACATAATTCTATTTGACCCACGAGATCATATGAGATGTGTATTAGAGCTGCCCATCGGCTACAGATTACACATTATTTATATTCAATTTAAAGTTTAATTATTTTATATTTTGCTTGTTTTGGGATCAATGTTTAAGCAAAACTATTATTAAACATTTATTTTAATAAGAAAAGATTTAACATTACATATATCGAAAGAAGAGAAAACATGCAGATGTTGTTGACATGTTTCAATAAATATTTAGTTTGGCCCTCGACTTAGTCCCAGTTTTTAATTTCAGCCTCTGTGATTTTGAGTTTGACACTTCTGCATTAAACGATACGATAATATAATACGATATATAACACGAAATATTTTGATATTTTTGCACACTTCTTAATCTAATTCTAACAAACTGATCCACAAGTATCACAGATTATAACTACAGAGCACATACAAGCACAGTACGTTTCTTTAACTTCTGTACCTTTTTTTCTTGTTCCTTTTTTTAATCAACATTACATCCTGTTTACAAATGTTACTGGTAGAATCTCTCCTGAATTCAGCTGAATAAGTTTTCTTCATATCTGGGGTCACGGTTGGGTAATATTTATCACATAATTAAAAAAAGATCCTTCGCACACACTCTTGTTGTTGAAGACAGGATGAAATGTGGCCTGGACGGTGGCAGATCAAACCGGCCGGGCTCTTCGGGGGCACACACGAGGAGAATGCTGGAGTTTACTTTACATTGGTATGTGTCAATACGAGCAGCGACGGACAAGGCCCTCATTCAGCCCGGCTCTTTAAAGTGTGAGGCTCTAAGTGCAATACTTCCGCTCGTTTACCAGAAAAACACACCGGGCCGACAGCGCTGCAGCGCTGTCCACGGACAAAACAACTCAACAACTCAAACTAAAGAAGAGCTGCTTTTCAGGCGCCACCACGTGATGGTGTCAGACTCTCAAACTAAACTAAGACTAAACCAGGACTAAACCAGGACTAAACCAGGTCTAAACCAGGACTGATGATGTCAGACTCTCAAACTAAACTAAGACTAAACCAGGACTAAAACCACTAAACCAGGTCTAAACCAGGACTAAACCAGGTCTAAACCAGGACTGATGATGTCAGACTCTCAAACTAAACTAAGACTAAACCAGGACTAAACCAGGACTCAGGACTAAAACCAGGACTAAACCAGGACTAAACCAGGTCTAAACCAGGATAAACCACGACTGATGGATGTCAGACTCTCAAACTAAACTAAGACTAAACCAGGACTAAACCAGGACTAAACCAGGACTAAACCAGGACTAAACCAGGACTGATGATGTCAGACTCTCAAACTAAACTAAGACTAAACCAGGACTAAACCAGGAAAAACCAGGTCTAAACCAGGTCTAAACCAGGACTAAACCAGGTCTAAACCAGGACTGATGATGTCAGACTCTCAAACTAAACTAAACCAGGACTAAACCAGGACTAAACCAGGTCTAAACCAGGACTGATGATGTCAGACTCTCAAACTAAACTAAGACTAAACCAGGACTAAACCAGGACTAAACCAGGTCTAAACCACGACTGATGATGTCAGACTCTCAAACTAAACTAAGACTAAACCAGGACTAAAACCAGGTCTAAACCACGACTGATGATGTCAGACTCTCAAACTAAACTAAGACTAAACCAGGACTAAACCAGGACTAAACCAGGTCTAAACCAGGACTGATGATGTCAGACTCTCAAACTAAACTAAGACTAAACCAGGACTAAACCAGGACTAAACCAGGTCTAAACCAGGACTGATGATGTCAGGACTCTCAAACTAAACTAAGGACTAAACCAGGACTAAACCAGGACTAAAACCAGGACTAAACCACTAAAACCAGGACTAAACCAGGTCTAAACCAGGACTAAACCAGGACTAAACCAGGTCTAAACCAGGACTAAAGATCTAAACCAGGACTAAAACCAGGACTAAAACCAGGACTAAACCAGGTCTAAACCAGGACTAAACCAGGTCTAAACCAGGTGTAAAACCAGGTCTAAACCAGGTCTAAAATCAGGACTAAACCAGGACTAAACCAGGACTAAACCAGGACTAAACCAGGTCTAAACCAGGACTAAACCAGGACTAAACCGAGTCTAAACCAGGACTAAACCAGTCTAAACCAGGACTAAACCAGGTCTAAACCAGGACTAAACCAGGTCTAAACCAGGACTAAAACCAGGACTAAACCAGGTCTAAACCAGGACTAAACCAGGTCTAAACAGGACTAAACCAGGACTAAACCAGGTCAAACCAGGACTAAACCAGGTCTAAACCAGGTCTAAAACCAGGACTAAACCAGGACTAAACCAGGACTAAACCAGGACTAAACCAGGTCTTCTAAACCAGGACTAAAACCAGGACTAAACCAGGACTAAAACCAGGTCTAAACCAGGTCTAAAATCAGGACTAAACCAGGACTAAAACCAGGTCTAAACCAGGATTAAACCAGGTCTAAAACCAGGATTAAACCAGGTCTAAAACCAGGTCTAAAACCAGGACTAAACCAGGTCTAAACCAGGACTAAACCAGGAATAAACCGAATCTAAACCAGGTCTAAACCAGGTGTAAACCAGGTCTAAACCAGGACTAAACCAGGTCTAAACCAGGACTAAACCAGGTCTAAACCAGGTCTAAACCAGGACTAAACCAGGACTAAACCAGGTCTAAACCAGGTGTAAACCAGGACTAAACGCTGCACGTGGGACATTTCTTGTATAAAACTGGGACTAATCGGTGGTTTTGTATAAATCTAGTGGCTCTGGTCTCAAATCTGGGCCTGTCCCGGGTAAACAGGGACGCGTGGTCACATTAACTCGAGTTTTTTTTTTTTTTTTTTTTTGTAAAATCAGAGTTCATTTGTAAAAAAAAAAATAAAAAAAATAAAAAAATCCAAGCCTGTTGTCTCGCCTCTGCTCTTCCGTCTCCCTGTTTGACCCCCTCGTGTCCGCGTCCGGGGAGCGGGCTGTGTTTAGGACCCAGCGGAGCGCGCGGGGGACCCTCTCTCGGCTTCAGTTGTCTCCGGGCTCCGAGTGTTTCGAGTTATTTGTGCGGAGGCGCTGCTGTAGCCATTTCCCCCCCCCTCCCTCTCCACTCCACTCCACTCACACACACACACACACACTCACAGTACGGTACAGGCCGGCGTCCGCACCGCGCTCGGATCTCCCGCTGAACGTGGCCACGGCGAGCACGGAGACGCGGAAAAAAAACAACACACACACGGGAGCGCGGCTTTGACCACGGCGCGGCACTCTCCCCGAGCCTCCCTCCCTCCCCCCCGAGCACTCCGTCCTCCCCCGCCGCAGAAAAAGAAAAACAACGCGGCGGCTCCGGGGAACGCAGGACACAAACTTCGGGATCCCATGTGGAAAGCGGCGGTGTGAGGAGGACGCGACGCACCGACGACCGCCTGTGGTTCCACTGCGGGGCACCGGGGCTCCACTCGCCCGCTCCGGAAAAACCTTCTTCTTCTCCCGAGTCTGGCTCTTCCGTCGGACACTCTTCTATGAGACCCCCGCTCGGTTTTGGGGGAAGTTTGCGTGTTTTGCGGTGGAGGAGTCGGTGAAGAGTCGGTGTGAAAAAGTAGCGGGGGAAGAAGATGGTTCGCGACGGCGCTTGGGGAAGGAGCTTACTGTGCGTCCTGGCTGTTTGTCTGGGCTTCGTTTCCCCGCCATGCAAAGCCCGGATTTACACAAACCACTGGGCGGTCAGGATAGCCGGGGGGACCGAGGTGGCCGACAGGATAGCGGAAAAGTACGGCTACAGGAACATGGGCCAGGTAAGAGACTTTGTGCCGCGGAACTCGTCTCGCACGCTCCGCTTTTCTGCTCGTTTTCGCTCCTCCAAAATGTTTGCCCGACCTTTCACCTGAACATTGTGCTCCGTGCCAAAGCAAAAGTCCAAAAACCAGCCCGGCACAACAGGTGTCACGCTAAAATCTGCAAAAATCTGGTGGTATCTAAATGAGGTGACGTGCAGACCCGAGCCCAGGGTGAGCACACGTCCCTGTTTACCCGGGACAGTCCCAGATCTGAGTCCAGTCCCACTAGATTTATACAAAACTACAGGTTTTATTCTAGAAATGTCCCAGGTGTCCCTGTTTTTGACAGATTTGATCGAAACCTGGACTAAACTAAGATTATATCATGACTATGTCAACTCTTTAAAAAGGACTAAACAGGAGACTAAAAAGGACTAAAACAGACTAAACCAGGACTAAAACAGGACTAAAACCAGGACTAAACCAGGACTGCGTCAACTCTAAACTAAGACTAAACTAAGACTGCATCAACTCTAAACCAGGAGTAAACTAAGACTAAACCAGGACTAAACCAACTCTTTAAGCCGAGACTAAACTAAGACTAAACCAGGACTACATCAACTCTTTAAACTGGGACTAAATTAAAAATAAACCAAGACTAAAACAGGACTAAACCAGGATTACATCATCTCTAAACCAGGACTAAATTAAGACTAAACCAAGACTGCATCAGGTCTAAACTAGGACTAAACTAAGACTAAAACATGACTAAACAAAGCCTCAACCAGGATTAAACTAAGACTAAACCAGGACTACATCAACTCTTTAAACTGGGACTAAATTAAAACTAAACCAGGACTAAATCAGGATTACATCAACTCTAAACCAGGACTAAACTTGGACTAAACCAGGACTAAACTAAAACCAAACTAAAACTAAACCAGGACTAAACTAGGACTAAACCAAGACTACATCAACTCTAAACCAGGACTAAACCAAGACTAAACCAGGATTAAACTAAGACTAAACCAGGACTATACCAATTCTAAACTAAAACTAAACCAGGATTAAACTAAGACTAAACCAGGACCAGGAACAATCTGAGTGAGGATGAGTGAGGATAGCCGGGGGGACCGAGGTGGCCGACAGGATAGCGGAAAAGTACGGCTACAGGAACATGGGCCAGGTAAGAGACTTTGTGCCGTGGAACTTGTCTCGCACGCTCCGCTTTTCTGCTCGTTTTCGCTCCTCCAAAATGTTTGCCCGACCTTTCACCTGAACATTGTGCTCCGTGCCAAAAGTCCAAAAACCAGCCCGGCACAACAGGTGTCACGCTAAAATCTGCAAAAATCTGGTGGTATCTAAATGAGGTGACGTGCAGACCCGAGCCCAGGGTGAGCACACGTCCCTGTTTACCCGGGACAGTCCCAGATCTGAGTCCAGTCCCACTAGATTTATACAAAACTACAGGTTTTATTCTAGAAATGTCCCAGGTGTCCCTGTTTTTGACAGATTTGATCCAAACCTGGACTAAACTAAGATTATACCAGGACTACGTCAACTCTTTAAACCGAGACTAAACTAAGATTAACTAAGACTAAACTAGGACTACATCAACTCTAAACCAAAAGTAAACCTGGACTAAACCAGGACTAAACCAGGACTAAACTAAGACTAAACTAAGACTAAACTAAGACTAAACTAAGACTAAACTAAAACTAAACCAGGACTAAACTAAAACTAAACCATGGCTAAACCAGGACTAAACTAAGACTAAACCAAGATTACATCAACTTTAAACCAGGACTAAATTGAGATTAAACAAAGACTACATCAGGTCTAAAACAGGACTAAACTCAGACTAAACTCAGACTAAACTCAGACTAAACTCAGACTAAAACAGACTAAACTAAGACTGCATCAGCTCTTTAAAAAAGGACTACACCAAGACTAAACCAGCACTACATCAGGTCTAAACCAGGACCAGGAACAAAAAAAGTCTAAGGCTGTAGAAACCTTTTAAAAAAAGAGTATAAAGCGTTATATTTTGAAAGATTTAGAGCTCTGGAATTAATGAATTATGCTTTAAATTTAGTTTGTTTTACTTTATATTTTGTCTCTTATATTTACAGTAAATTGTAAGTGAAATTGTAAATCCAAACTTCCTCTTCGCACGCTGCTTTTTTCTTGAAATTCTTTCATTTTTAGTTGAGCCTAAACCGTTTCAGTCATGATTTATGAGGTTGTAGTTTGTGTTTTGTTTTGTAGTGCTGCAATATGACCAAATAAACTACTACTAACTCAACTCTAAACCAGGACTTTCACAATTTTTGACTAATCTGATCTGAAGAGGAGCATAAATTGTTATTTCTTTTGCCAAAATATTGAAATCCGTGTTTGTGAATGACCATAAAACCAAAAAAATGCAACAGTCAGAAGTCCCTCAGATCATGACTGACACGAGAATCCACAATGTTACACAATATTTTCACAATTTTATTCATACCAACCATCCCAACCCCAGTGTGTCCCAGTTTAGAATTTTTGAAATTCTGGTCACTCTACCCAGACCACATTTATTTATTTAATTCTCCCATGCATCTATTACAAAGATTTATCGATAGAATTCAGTTAAAAGTGAATTATTTTAGGTTTAAATGAAGTCTAAAGGAAGATGCAACAATGATTTGATGATGTCCTGTCAATTATTAGACTTAAGACTTAAACTTTTTTGAAATTATTTGGACAGAGAAGCTCACACGTCACAATATAATATAAAAAAACAAAGTGTAAAAATGTAGATTGTGATCATAAATTTTAAATAAGTAGCAAAAAAGACAGTAAATATATCTACTGTATCAACTCTAAACCAGGACTAAACTAAGACTACATCAGGTCTAAACCAGGACTAAACCAGGACTAAACTAAGACTACATCAGGTCTAAACCAGGACTAAACTAAGACTACATCAGGTCTAAACCAGGACTAAACCAGGACTAAACTAAGACTACATCAGGTCTAATCTAAATCTAAACTAAGACTACATCAGGTCTAAATCAGGTCTAAACCAGGACTAAACTAGAACTACATCAACTCTAAACTAGGACTAAACGAAGACCAAACCAGGACTAAACTAAGACTAAACCAAGACTACATCAGGTCTAAACCAGGACTAAACTAAGACTACATCAGGTCTAATCTAAGTCTAAACTAAGACTACATCAGGTCTAAGCTAAGACTAAACCAGGACTACATCATCTCTAAACCAGGATTAAACAAAGACTAAACCAGGACTAAACTAAGACTAAACCAAGACTACATCAACTCTAAACTTGGACTAAACGAAGACTAAACCAGGACTAAAACTAAACTAGGACTAAACTAGGACTAAACCAAGACTAAACCAAGACTAAATTAAGACTACATCAGGTCTAAACCAGGACTAAACTAAGACTAAACTAGAACTACATCAACTCTAAACTAGGACTAAAGGAAGACTAAACCAGGACTAAACTAAGACTAAACCAAAACTACATCAACTCTAAACCAGGACTAAACTGACACTACATCAGGTCTAAACCAGGACTAAACAAAGACTAAACCAGGACTAAACAAAGACTAAACAAAGACTAAACCAGGACTAAACAAAGACTAAACAAAGACTAAACCAGGACTAAACAAAGACTAAACCAGGACTAAACAAAGACTAAACCAGGACTAAACAAAGACTAAACCAGGACTAAACAAAGACTAAACCAGTAAATAATGATGTAAATGTACAAGTCAATGATATGTCTAGAATTTATTGCCATTTTTAATGTTTTTTACTCTTTGTTTTTGTATTATATCGTGATGTTTGAGCTGCAGCGTCCAAATAATTCCCCTTTTTGGATCAGTAAAGTTTGTCCAAGTCTAAATCTTAAAGGTTGTATGGGGGATTTTTTTTTTTTTTTTGTTAGGGTTAGGGTTGTTAGGTTTGTTTCAATGAAAGTTTAAAATACCATTACAGAGACGCAGCAGCTTTGTAATTATGATGATCAAAAAAAAAAAAAAGAATGAAAATCCATCAACTGTGGACGTGTTGAGGCCAGATAAACATCAGCCAATAGAAAACAAGACTCCCTCATTTTCTATTGGCTGTTAGGTTGTCAATCAAATTCCCTAGTGTAAGTGACTCGCCGGCGCTTGGGGATTATGTGGTTTACGCAGCGGTTCTTGGAGGCTTTTTTAAACTGTCGCTTCCTCGCATTTCGCACAAAGCTTGTTGAGACGGCGGACGAGAATCCATGACCAGTTCGCCGCAGAAGAAAGTCCGTTTTTGAGGTCGCTGAAAGAAAGAGAGAAGGGGAAAAGGAGCGAAGACAAACTGAGGTGATTCTTGGAGATTCCTTCCACCGACTGAAGCAGACGAAGGGTCTAAAAACTGACGCGTCGGTCGATAAATTACCTCTAGACGGGAAACTTCAACAGTGATTCTGAACGCGCACAAGGACTCTCGCTGTATTTCTCTTCCCTTAAAAAAAATCCTCTATACAACCTTTAAGTCTCGTAAGTCGGCGCATCCAGGGAGAAACCGTTGAGAGGTCAAACTGGTGTTGAAAAAACGTGGATTAGAGCGTGTATTGTGAGCCCCACCTGTTGTGTTCTGGTTGTTATGGGGAGGCTGGTTGTAAAATCATTGAGTAATCTCTCGTGTCCCCGGTCCTGTTTGTGGTGAGACACATCAAAGCGGAGCCACAACAAGCGTCAGTCTGGACTTCAGTCAAAGGGCGACCACATGAGAGCGCGCCTGTGTGGGCTGGCACCGGGCACGGGCACTGAAACGCCGTTATTATGACGACGCCGACCTGTACGGCTCCGCGATAACAGTTTCAGGCTCTTTTTACGAATCTAGTAGCGAACTGTCTTTCTGACCAGTGTTGGGAAGGTGACTTTTAAAATGTAATCCCCTACAGATTACAGATTACATACTCCAGAATGTAGTTTGTAACGGAATCCATTAAATCATTAAAGTGAGT